GAAGCTGTATTTGGTCTTTCAGTTGGCATTCGTTGACTAGCTTGTTGAAAACCTTTTGCTAAATTTGTACCTTTAATAACATCTTGATTAGCAAATCGTTGTGTTTTTGATACTCGATTAGTAAGAAGAGTATCAATAGCAGCACGACGTTGACGAACAAATTCTGGATCTTCTTCATTGGTTTGTTGCGATTTTGCTATATCCATTGATCGTTGAGTAGTATCAACTATTTATAATTACGATAAATTATAAATAAGAAAACAATAGATAAACTAACCCGTCGTTGCCGATTTTTGTTTAGTACCAAATGGAACCCATGGTGGTGGTGCTCCTTCACCAATTAATGTTCGAACATGTTTACCCATTAGCTAAATGACGAAAAAATAAAATCAATTTTTGAGATTAAATTTCAAACTTTATTTAATTTCCATTTTTGAGCAAGTTCATTGACTGTTCCACCAAGAACTTCACATGTTTGATCATTTAATATATAAAATCCATTGGATACTTTTGTTTTTGGTTTTAATAAAATTTTAACACCAGGTGGTGTATCTAAACTAATAATTCAAACTAAAAAGTTTTAAAAAAAGATAATTCTATTCATTTTCTATACTTAAAATTTCGAAGTGATGGTAAAACGAGTGCATTTTGAAAAACATGTCCATCAGTAATCAATAATCGATAAAGATGCGGTCTATGTGATCCTGATTCATTATCTTTAGGTGCTGTTACATTACGAGTTTTATGTAATTGTACAATATATGGTTTTGTTGTCTGAATAAATGAAACGAAATAGATAATAAGAATAGATTTGTTGAAGTCATACTTGATCAAGTTTTCCTAATTCAGGTAAAGCTTTTTCTCCAGATTGTCGTAAATCACTCTATAAATTAAAAGAAATGATTAATTCAAGATAAGAATTACACTTACATCAAGTAATTGTTTTTTAACATCGTCAATACGTTGTTTATTTCCTTCTAAAAAGTCCATTTTTATGGACCATCCCAAAGTATACAATTGATCTTTAAAATTCATTTTCTAAAAGCAAATTCTGCAAGAATATTAATACTTCCGGTAACAATAACAGAAAAATAAATAACATTATATTTATTTTTTTAATTTATATATATATATGTATGGTAAATCGATAACATAAAAGAAAAAACAATGTCTATTCAACTCATTCTTGAAATAATCTCAATTGTATTATTCAAGACCAAGAGTATAATTAACACCTTGAACAATAAATAAAATTAATGGTTGCCAAGCAACTAGATATCGAACCCAATCAAGTAAATTTCCATAGAATACATGAGGCTTCTAGATAAACATCAGAAATTACATTATTAAAGATACGAATTAATGAAACATACCTCCCAAGGATTTGGAAATAATCTTTTTAAATCAACTTTCTCTTTACAATACGGACATGTTTGTTTTTTACCAACAATACACCAACCGCGTATACAAAATTCATGAAATCTAATAAAATAGAACTATAAGAAACTTTTAAACAAAAAAGATCTATTACTAACGTATGTCCACATTGGAGTTTATATGTTCTTTCAATCAATGCTTCTTCATTGTGTTGTACTAATATTGGATTAGCACAAATAGCACATGTGTTCGATTCTAATGCTCGCTTGGGTAAACCTGTCTCTGAATAATACTAAATAAAAGCAATAGTTTAAATTTCATTATTTTCTTTTTCTTAAGTTATCTTACGCCAATTTTTGATGCCATTCGATCAGTACATGACTCAGCCATATCTCTTCCAAGTACACCATAATAAATTCCATAAAACATGCTCAATATTCCAATATCAAGTAGTGTCTATTATAGATAATTAATTTAAACATGAATCGTAACCTTCGAATAAATACATACTTGTGGAGATATTGAAAAAAGATTATTAATACCAAGAAATGTCATCATTATAAGGAAATAACCACCAATAGCAAGGCCATAAGACACTTTATGAACAAGAAGAAACCATTTATAAACTAATCTATTATAAAAAATTCTTCAATAATTTTGCAAGAAAATAAATTTTTACCTTGGTGTATTTGGTTCAATAGGTTGTTTTGTTGCACGACGTGTCACATAAACAGTTATAAGTGTGAAAAAACACCAGATTATAATAAAACGAATATAAAAATTTTGAATAGACAATCCAAGTGGAATTAACCACATAGAAAGAAGTGTAAAAAACTAAAACATTGAATTGAAATTGAATTCAAAGAAGAAAAAACGTTTCTTCGAATATCTTACTTGATAAGATCGAAGATGATACTTTCTCCAAAGTATTAATACAAATTGAGAAACAACAATTGCAACAAGTAAAACAAGTAACATTTCCATATGCATAGCTTCATGTCCTTTATGTTTTTCATGCATTGCTTCATGTTGAACTCGAAAGCGTTCTTCTGGACTAAGTTTATCGAGTTCATATGTCTGAAAAAAAAGCATATTAATCGTCAATGAAAGATATAAATAATTTCGGTACTACTTTATTTCCTAATATTATAGTTTTTCCTGCGAATTCATTGTCTAAATCCATGATTATCTTACTATTGTGAGTGAATACAAATAAGTAAACGTGGTTATAGAATAAGTAATCATTCATTGGTGGAATTGAATCTCGAATAAAATGATAGTCGCTGGAAGTAAATAGATCTATTTAAAAAAATGCTCAGTCATGATGTTCAAGTTTATCATCTTTGTTCTTTTATTAGAACTCATCTCGGTAATTAAATTAATTTTGTTTAAAAAAATTAAAATTTTCAAATTTTTTTTTTATCAAAGACATTTGATGATACAACCGATGATTCTATATTGCTCAATTTTGAAGATAATGTGATAGATGGAAAATTTTCATCGTTTGCTAAAATGAATATACGTCTTTCAAGACAATCAAAAATTGAATTAGCACCTTCACGTACGATATTATCGTTACAATATAAACGATTAATCGAGGTTAATTTATTATCAAAATCATATTATCGATAAATGTCTCATTCTCTCTTTTTTCCTAAAGGAATTTCAATTAAATTCACATTCATATTATACATTAAAGGTCATTTTTAAACGTCGTTTACTGCAAGATTATACCATGACGTCAATACCATTGGTATAAAATTTAAAAATATTATTTTTGTTATTTTATTAATTGAAAGTATTATTTTTTTAGTGTCTCATTTTACAAGCACAATTTCATTATACAATCAATTTATTTATTAATGAAAATGGTTATATTAATAGTGCATTTATTTTAACAAATAATTCTACATGTAGTTTTTCGAATTTATCTACATTAGAATTAAAAAATGATCTCATATATAAAGTTCCTTTGAATTTACAATTTAATAACCTTGGACCGCAGTAAGCCGAGAGTTTAATTCTTCTCTTCTTTTTTCTAAATATAACTTTTATATGAATAGACCGGAAACACAACATTTTCTTGAAAAACTTAAACGTGAGAGAGAAGCAAAATTAAATGCACAAGAAAACGACAATCGTCCATTTATACTTAAATATGTAAGTTGTACAATAATCTTTAGAGAAATACAAAAATATTTTTCTATTTTTAGTGGAAATATTTATTACCAATCGTCGTTATTTTTGTTCTTCAAAGTGCTTTTACAGATGGTGGAAGATAGTTTCATCTATTTTATATATATATATATAGTTTTGAATACTCGCTTATGTTTGCTTTTTTTGCCTCTCATCAAGTAAACAAGTTATCTAGTATTATATGAAGTACGAATGAAGATATTCTCATTAGTCAAAAAAAAGAAATAAATATATCGATCCCTATTTTTCTCAATTAATACTTATTTTCTTCTAATGGTAAATTGATTAATACATGTACACGTATTTAGACTTTCTCTTTCTTATACATAATATGGTGTTTGAGTGTAGTAAATAATGTAAGTAAAATGAAACAACTTATTTATTTAGTTTCTTCTTTGACAGCTGGCCGTTGTTCAAGGACATAAAGTGTTTATGTCATTTGTACGATCATTATTCACTATCAAATATTGATTTAACATATCATTGATTAGATATTTTATTTGAATATAGTAATAGTTACTATTTTATTTGAAAAAAAAAAGAAATATCTCATCTGATACATAAAAGTACTGAATTCAATAATCATTTTTTCGTAAAAAATGATGATAATAATATATTTGTACAACATTCGATCATTTGTTTTTTGATAGAACATCAACAATGATATTATTAACATAACATTTTTTCAATTCTTTGTCTGTTACTGAATCATTTACACAGTGTGAAATCATCATATTGGTATATGCCTAATAGTATCGTTGACACAATCTTTATTACTTCACTTTTTTTTTGCTAGTATGCCCTATGTATAGAATATAGAAAGAAATATGATTCCACTTTAACACTTTATACGAGAACAAAGAAATGATTTTTTAAAACTTTGTATCAAATATTTTTCAATATCGTATTGTACTAAATATTACTCATCAATAATAATATTGAACAATGGTTATCTCTTTTTCTAGTATACCCTATTCATATACATGAATGATTCGTATGTAAGTTTTACTATTATATACATTGAGGAAGAAAAGAAAGATAACCTTTTCTTAACCTTGAACAATCGATTATCAAACAAATATTCATAAATACGCTTTCAATTGAGAAAAAGCGATTACTTTTCGTTTTTTTTTTATACTAAGTACAGTGTAGAAAAAAGAAATGCACCTTGAAATAAAAACCATTGATACCGTGCAATCATGGATTGATCAATGTGATTGCAATTTGTCGAAGTAAGTATATAGATATATTGAAATAATTCTTTTAATGTTTACAAGAAAAACATAAAATAGTTATTTTTAAATATTTAAATTCTTTTTTTTTACAAGAAGAAATTCTGAACGATCGTCATGAATACATATATATAATTATCAACATTGACAATTGTAGATTTGATGACAAAAAAGGAAGCAGCAGGAAAGAGAGAGTGAAAGAACCTATAGCTTTTCTTTTAATTTTTTATAATGTAGGTGGAAGAAGAAGAAAAAAAAATAAGTCAACGACAAAAAATGAAATCAAAGATAGAAATAAAAAATAAGGTGAGCATTACTCATCTAATGAAAATAAACGTAAGTTATTACAAATTTAAATTCATGATTTCTTTTTTTTTTTGTTCCAATTATTATTTGTCTATAGGAAGAAATTTGATTGAGTTAACCTTTCTTGTTGCATAGCAATGGAGAAACATTAGAATTAATAATAACAATAACAGAGAAAAGATATCTTTAACTATTTTTCATTAAAGACGATGACATTTTTTTTTCGTCATTAATTATAAAGATGTAGGTGTTAAACGTGATAATAATGCTGATCGAGAATGCGTGTTATGTTAATTCATAAGTATGCAAAAAAACATGTATGATAATCCTGTTTTTCAGATTATTCAATTTATATATATATATATATATATATCGTCGACTCGTCGTACGATTGTGAAATATACTATTCCATTTGTATCTTTACTGTCGATGGTGAAGGATAATAGGATAGTAGATCACGTGTATATACAGATGGATGTATATTTGACAACAGAATGTTTTAGTATAAAACTAATTTGTCTCTATGAGAGAATGACATGTATATGTATGTACACGTATATCTACATCCAATGATGAAGATCAGTGTAACATATAGAAATAAAAGATGATCATTGATGGTTTATAGCGAGACGACAACTGTTATGTCCTTCGAATAGACACTTTTTTTTTATTAATAATTATGTAAGAATATGCCGTTACAAAGGAAATCTTGTCTAGATAATCGAACGACATTTGACAAAATTCTTACATATGTTCTATAAGAGGTGATTATACCTAGTTTGGTTTTTCTTTTTTTCCTCTGATAAGAAATCAAAAGAATTATCTTAGATTATTTTAATAGTTAGATAGATTTATCATTTTTGATACTAATCGAAATTTTAAATTTTGTTGATAAATATGAGAATATGTTTATTAGTATAGAATTAAACCTTGTCTTCTAAAAATTTCTACGCAGTACATTAATCATGATCATTAGTTTTTGAGAGTGATACGATTTGTCCTCGAGTGAATATTATCATTTTTTGATATCTTATAGATATCGTAAAGAAGAAAGAGAAAAAAACCTGTTGACTTTTCTATATCGAAATCAAAGGTTGTTGTCTGTAATCAGAATTACAATTACCTTCATCTATATAGTGGAAAAAAATACCATAGTATGTTCATTTTTTTGTGATAATTTTACCTTTTTTTTTCTTCTTCTTCTTTCTCTCTCTCTTGTCAATCAAGGTGACACAATGCGCTTGTGTTCTCCATATGCATTTACATCTGCATATGACAACGAAGATAATTACAGTATAAATATCTATCTATCTACATATGCACACGAGTTATAAATACCTAATACAATCATCCTTACGTCAATTGTCTCAATGTTTATTTTGTACTGGAACAAAAAAAACTATATGCATGGTGCAATAATTAATTTATTCAGTGAACATGAATGACATGGTCTATGCATAGATAATAAAAATGCAAAAAATTTCTATTTTAATAAATGATATTATTTCTTTCTTTTATTTTCTATTATAGATCAGTGTTCTATTCTATAGTTTGTTTTTCTAGTTATCCATTCAATTATGTATTTATGATTATAAAATATTTTATACCGATGCAAGAAAATAATAATAATGATGATTTTTATAAACAAATTTTTTATTCAAATAATTATTTACATTATGATAAAGATGTAACAATTAAACTAAATGTAATCAATCAATTACATTTGTTTATATTTTTATTTTTAATATTAACAACACCATCAAATGCTTTACCTATTTATAAAGGTAAATCGAAATTATTTTGAATATAATCTTTAAATTCTTCCTTTAGCAAATTCACCACCCTCATCTTATCCTGCTGCAATTGTTCAAGTAATCGATCATTCGACATCATCGATGTATCCACCACAAGTCAATTCATATAAAGTCTATCGACGTTTGCCTATACCGAGTTATTCTAATGGTGCCGTTGGTCAAATTTATGATCAGACAAACGTTAATCGTCAACAAGAATTAAAACGTGAACGATATCGACGTACGATGATTGATAAAATGTTTTCATTATTTGATGAAGATGGTACGTTGTTATTTAATTTGTTTCATGAAGTTTTTTTTCCTCTCCATTTAGTTAATGGACAAATATCAAAAGATGAATTGTATTCATTAACTTTACGTTTAAATATTTTTCCAAAAGTTCATCATTTTCTTAAACAAACATCATCATCATCAAGGAAATAAAATAATTATTATATTACAATATTCAAGTTTTTTTTTGTCTTTTTATCCGTTTGGAATTTTGTTATGAAATATATATATATGAATGAATTTAGAATATTATTAAAACTATCGTATGAAGTATCATTGAATTTGTCAGATATGGTAGTTGATATTTGAGTGAGAACTAATCATAGGTTTACTTGAATTACAAATATTATTTGTGTGTAATATGACCTGTCTCAAAGTTTAATAAGAAGAAATGATTTATTGTATGTTTAAGACAGTTTTATCTTGGAGAACTAAAATTTCCATCGCGTAATTCTGACTAGACAAAACGAAAAAAAAAGTGATTGTGTTCTCAAGATTACTTCATATTTATTATTCATCAACACAATGCTTCCTTCAAAAAGTATGAAAAGCAAATAGAAGAAAAGAAAGCAATATAATATAATATATTCTATCATCGTCTTTATCTTCTGCATAATCATATTATTACCAAAAACTTGAAAAATAAATAACACAAGATTATGCATTACAAGAAAAATATAAAAACCTCCAAACATACTTTTCAAAAAGCCATTCAGAATGAAATGAAATTGTAAGCACGTAAATAAACATATAATTAGCGTATTGACATAGGTTTACATAAAAAATACAACTTTCTTTGAAATCTGTTTTTATTTTTTCTTCTTTTTTCATACAAACTATCGATGCTGTTTCTACCTATAAAAAGTATCGAAGCTTTTGACTTCCTTTGAGTCCATTTATTTGAATTCGTATGATTCTACTTTGTTTAATAATTGAACCGATTCAGTGTATTATTATTATTACAACAAATAGTCGGACAACATGTATCGTTTATCGGTTTATTGTTGTGTCGAGTTAAAGGTTGTCTATCGTATTTCATAGGTCGATTTTTTTGTCTAAATGCCCAATTGTTATAATGAAAACTACCATAAGTCATATTGGTTGTTTTATATTTTTCTGATGGACGATTGACAGAAGAAAAATCAATACGAGTTAAATTACTACCATTTACTGGTGAATAAGTTGTCTTATAAAGATGTTGAAGAGGACGATAATACTTTGGTGAACGAGAAGTTTTTAAATTTTGATTACGACAATTACTATTATTATGATACAGAGATACGCCGTTGCATGGATTAATATTTGGCGAACGGATATTGCAAGAAATCATAACTGAAGGTTATAATGGAAAAACAATATCAAATAGAAATCATTCGTACGTAAATTACGTATTTATTTCGAAATAAGAATTTATTGAAAGCGCACAAATTATATTTAGAATAAAACTATAGAACAGTATTCTTTTTTCTACTGATACCATCATTAATTTAAAACAGGAGAATTACTATTAGCGTTTTAAAGCAGTATCTACGCTGATATTATATAAAATCTATCTACAATGACTAAGCAACCGGATCTTGTTGAATTCTATATACAATTCAGATAATGGTATCACGTATTTTTGATATTTTTCTTTTCAATGCATCTCCTACTATCGATAGTAATGCTAATGAAATAGTTATTTGATCCGCTGTTTAAAACATAAATCATCTGTTCTATAAACTACTGACATCTATCGTTATGACATCTATTCTGACATTATCCAATTTCTACCTTTAGCATATCCAACAGTTCGTTTAATATAATCATAACTTTATTTCTTCATCACTATTATTCATTCTGTTGACTTGGAAGTGTATTATCATGAATACCAATGCTGAATTTAATCTTCGATTTACGAAAAAAATGATTGAAAAAGAAGCATCTGCAGCTGAAAAAAAATATGAAGCAAGTCGAAAAAAAGCATTAGATGCATTGAAAAAATCGGGTGATGTTGAAACGGCTCGTATCTATGCTGAAACAGCTATTCAAAATCGAACATCACATAATCAATTTCTTATTATGGCTTCACGTATTGATAGTGTGATTTCTAAAGTAAAAATTTTCTTTCATTGGAAAAACTAGTTCATATTTATTTAATGTGTAGATTCAACAAGCAAATGCACAAAGCGTCATGGTTAAAAATATGAAACAAGTTAATAAAATGCTTGAGCATGTAAATAAGGATATGAATGCTGCGGAATTAGCTAAAGTTATGGAAAAATTCGAACAAGTTTGTGAAATTATTGTTTATCATATATTCTTATACAATATTAAATTTATTTATTTAGTCATTCGAAGATTTTGATGTTAAAGATAAGGTAATGAATGATGCAATGAATAATGCTATGGCAACAAGTACACCAACTGAAGCTGTACATGATCTTTTACGTCAAATTGCTGATGAAAATAATTTAGATATTCGTGCACAACTCGATGCTACTCCAGCAATTCCACAAACAATACATACACCAGCGCAACAAGTGGCTGCGGAACAAAATCAACGTTTAGCTGCTCTTCGTCACGCGACATAAATATCTTCATTTATATATTTCAATTGACAAATATACATTCATTCAGTTTATGATATTTCCTTTATTTAAAAATGTGTGCGTGTGAAGTGCATAATGTAAACAATACGAAGTTAATTAAATTTTTTTTCAAACAAAAAGATAAAAATTTCTTTTATATACTACAAAGATTATTTGAATTTATTTCAGGTAATCGATCTTTCCATTCTAAGCAGAACCGAAATTGAAAAAAAAGAAGAGATAAATGATTTCGACAGAATACAAACTAAAATTTCTCTTGATAGAAAAAAAATGGTTCAGACATTATCGAAGCAAATTCCTTTTAAATTAATATAGCCCATTATCGGACACTATTTACACTGAAAAATTAAAACTTTGGAATTAATCTCTCAGGATAAGAACATTTGTTGAATCAAAATTTTCATAACTACTAGATAGATGAGAGAGTAAATTTTTCTATCTTATCTCTAATTCATTATAAATGAAAAGTTGTTGTGTATCTAATAATTGTCCTCTATTATCTGTATATTCTTTAAAAAAATTTCATAAATCCAATAATACACCTAACGAGACATCATTGTTATATTCTAGAACTTGCTGAACTGATTATAATGATATAGGGAATTTTCCTTCATAAATTCTCTGTGACTACTTATATCAATTGCAATTGAAAACGAGTCATTATATACGTTTATTTTAGATACTTTAAATCGTACATATTTTGTCGATTTTCATATCTAATGTATTTTAATTAACTATACACACATTCAGGTAATAACTTTGAATAAAAGTAATTTAATACTATTAACTAGTCTAATGCATAGAATTGGTGTATGTTTAATAAATTGTAGTATTCATAAAAGAAATATATATATTCTTCACGGGTCACATACGGTTTTTTATCGATAAAATACAATCGATTAAAATAGATAAAATACTAGAGTTTTCAATATCACAATATATAATGATTAAAGCTTGTAATTATTTATTTTCTCTTAAAATCGTTCTAACTCGAGAATAACTTATGCTATCAAACTTCATAAACACATATAAACGAATTGAGATATTATTCAGGCACTTGAAAATCTTTCATCATGAATAGTTTGTTTGTATCCTATCTAAAATTTGTTCCATTAAAATAACTACTTGTAATTAATAATTCAGAGATGGGCAACTCCAACTCCGGAGTTGAAGTTGGAGTGGAGTTGGACTTGGTGCTTTTTCCAACTCCGACTCAACTCCGGTGGATCTCATGACGTGTAAGAGAAAAGCAACAAATATCCATCAGAGATGAGCAACTTCAATTCCGGAGTTGCCCATCTCTGTAATAAT